TCCTCCCAGCAGCACCCCCCCCCAGCAGCACCCCACCCAGCAGCACCCCCAGGTGGTAAGGGATTATCTAATCCTTTCCAGCATTAAAAAGCTTTGGGTATTTACTTATTTCAAAGTCATGTAGGCACATGGTTAAAAAACCTCTCTGCACTTGAAGGATATAAGGTGGGGAGCAGAAACCACCCCCCCAAATCCCTCAGAGAGGGAGCCCTCCAGACGCCTGCCTGTGTGTCCGGGGTGAGTCTCTGTCTCTGCCACCTGCCCTTGCATCTCACTTGTTGGGGACCCACAGCGCTGCTGAGTATCAGCACCCACCATCCACCCACCTTGTCCCACTCCAGGGAGGGTGTGGGCTCCAGCCTCATGCACTGAGTGTGGTGGCCCCAACACACACCCACACGTGTGCAAAGACACATGGCAGGAGGCTCTTGCCCATGGAATCCCTGGGCGCTTACACTGGCCGTTTTGCTGTTGTTGTTACAGGGCCCCCAAGGAAGCCGTACCCAAACCTCCAGCCAAGAGGAGGTTTCTGAGCTGGTGCAGGGTCCAGACGCTGTGGGCGCTGAATTCAGATGATCCTCGGCTGAACCAAACCCCTCCTGAGTGCTGGGCACAGCCCACCCTGCAGCTGTCCTCCGGGGGCTCTCAACCAAGACACCCATCTGCCTCGATGGGCATCAGCCACTCACGCGGCCGCCCTCTCCACACACGCAGTCTTGGGCCCTCATGCCCACATCTCCGTCCGCAGCTCAACCCTGGGGCTCGTCCGCAGTCGGCAGGCCTCCTTCCAGAAGCGCCCCCGATGTGCCGCACTCTTTGGTGGGGCTGCTTTGTCCTTGATGAGACCGGCTGGTGCTGTCTTGGCTGCTCCTGCCTCCCTGGCCCAGGGAGGGCGCCGACAGGCCTCCCGTGACGCACAGCACCAGCGGCTTCAGACCTCTTCTCTGTAAGTTCCTCACTGGACCAGTCACCCCACCAGTGTGAACTGAGCACATGCTTTCTACGTGTGTGTGGTTCGGGGGCACGAGGCGGCCCCTGCCCACCATAGCTCCTGGTGCTGGGATCTTCCGTAGCCCTGCAAAGGTTCATCCAGCTCCGCCGAGCACCTGCTGTTCTCCACTCCTGGGGAGGAGCAGGCCGCACCCAGACGGAAGACGGAGGTAGGTCGGTCACTGCGGATCGGAGCTGTGATGGGGGCAGGACGGAGAGGAGCCCAGAGACTCAGGACAGGCGGGCACTCAGCAACTGAGGGCGCAGGCAGGAGGGCAGGGTGCCCAGGTGGACGGACAGCAGGAGGCAGGACACAGCAGCACCTGCCTGCCTACCGGAGGGTCGGCTCCCTGAGCAGGGCCCCCCCGTGTCCACTGCCAAGTGCAGGTGCTGGGGAGACAGCTCGGCACGCGACGGAAGCTC